CCTTAGAGAGTCAAATTTCCACCTTGACTTCTCTAATAAAGGAATTTATATTAAACTCAAAACCTCAAGATGTCAAGACATGTCTCACAAGCATCTTACGGATTTTTGTCCAAAGCTCCGAGATGAATACCTTGAACAAACTGATGATGTTGGTTACCAACGGGAAGTACCTCACATGAGGTATGATCTGTTCTCCAACTATAACATGTCTACGGAGGATATGGTCCGGGCTATTGCTACCAACATGACCACCATGCAAAACAACATGGTGCAATTCCAAAATGAGACCAAGTCTAGCATTTTAAACTTGGAAACTCAAGTGATTCAAATAGCCGGAGCCGTAAGGAGACTTGAAGCAAGGGATTCGGAAAAACTTCCCTCTCAAATAGAATGTGATCCTAAATGGCAAATTTTTGCATTGACAAATGAGAAGGAAATGCAAAAGGAGATCCAAAATCCAGAATAATTGGAAGAAGAAAGAGACACAGAGCTCCAGCTGGTCAAAGAAGAGGATGAACCGAGTTTCAAGGTCAAATATCTACCCTTTTCATTCTTTGAGGTACCCCCAACAGTTCTACAAACTTTGAGGGAAACTCATAAAATTGAAAAGGATGATGACATTTTTGAAATCTTCAGCAAAATTGAGGGATCAAAATATTTTCTCTTGACCATGTTAAATGATAATTTCTTTCCCTCACTCTCACCACATAAATCAATGGAAATCTGGATATTTTATCCTGGAAAGATTCTCAAAGTGAAGGGTCAGAAAATTGAGCATTTCTATGAATGTCCTAGGAATGAAAATTTGAACAAGATTAATTATCATGATCCAAGTTTGAACATTTGAATACAATGATGGCGTCGTGCCGCGACGTTAAACGAGGCGCTTCTTGGGAGGCAACCCATGCAAGGTATGTTTACTTATTTTATTTCATTTTTGCACTTTTCAAAAAAAATCGTATCACCCCATTTGAACCCAACACCCCAAACCCTCCATAGTTACAATTTCACACTTTCATATCTTCTTCATACATCCACCAAATCAACAAACTAAACCCATATTCTTCTTATCCTCCCCACATTTTTTCATTTCTATACCAACAAAACCCACCAAATAATCCAAAATCCGAATTCCCTAACTCTACCTACACCAAGTCTGAATTCTCCTTATCTATGACGTCTTGAAGATGAGCACTAGGGACAGTGTTTTGGCTAGCTTGGGGGGGGGGGGAGTTTCATGGAATACTCACACTCATACTCTTTATTCTTGTTTTAAAAAAAAAAGAAAAAAAAAACATAAAACAAAGCTAATTAGGTTGAAAACCCAAATGGGCAATCTAAGCAATACAAGCAAAAAAAAACTGAGTGAGTAGGGGAGAAAGAAAAAAAATGAGAGGCTAGGATAAATTAAAAAAAAAAATATCCTAGGCAAAATAAGAGAAATGAGAGAAATTATTTTTACAGGGATGTGGTGATACAATGATGAAGAGGAGTTGATAGAAGACAAGTAAACCCAATATCATGAAGTGTGTAGTACATAAGTGGAATCATTTCACTTTGTAAAACATATTTTAAACATTACTTGGTTGGCTTTTGCTTGTTCATGATTGTTTAAAGTGTTGATGAAACATTGACTTTACTCGAGGACGAGTAAAGAAACTAAGCATGGGGGAGTTGATAGAGTTGTATTTTTATTATGTATTATTTCTATTTTAACTAGTTTTATTTGTTGTTGTTTGGAAAATTACACACTTTTGGTGTAATTAGTTAATTTTCTTAGATAGATGTAATTTGTTTAGATTGGGATTATTCTGGGCTTGAAAAAGATCAAGATCATCCAAAGGATCAAGTTTGGAGCCCAAAAGATCAAGGAAAGTGCAAGGGAACAAGATAAAAAGAAGATTGAAAAAATATTTCATATACCCGGTCGGGTATAGGCAATACCCGATCGGGTATTGAGTTGATTCGGGTGTCAAAATCAGAATCTAGAGAGACAAAAGAACATGTAAGATTTTGAGTTTTTGGCTCATACCCGACCGGGTATGCCAACATACCCGACCGGGTATGTCCCGAAAAGTCATTTTCCGCGGGAAACTGCCTAAAATACCCGATCGGGTACCCTAAAATACCCGACCGGGTATGCCAACCACCCTGCCACCTCCAAACACCTATAAATTCACCCCTTTTCCTTCACAATAATATCATTCCTTCTTCCATACTCTTAAGCTCAGTTTAGAATAGTATTTCTTTTCTATTTTTATAGCATTTTTAGTCTCCAAATGAGGAGCTAAACTTCCATTTCTTGGTGTTGCTCTTGAAGCTTGTTGTTTATAAAAGTTGTGAGTTATTTTCTTAACTTCTTCTCTTGAATATAATTTTTCCCTTACTCCATCTATATATTAATGTTGGGGAGTGTTACTAAGATGACAATTAGATAACATCTCGACATTAGTTATAGTAGTATTTATTTACTTCCTCTATATTAATGTTGGAGAGTGTTGCTAAGATGACAATTAGTTAACATCTTGACATTAGTTATAGTAGGATTATTCATCTTTAATTTTCTTCCTTGAATATTAATTCTTCCCTTAATCTATCTCTATATTAATGTTGGGTAGTGTTGCTAAGATGACAATTAGTTAACATCTCGACATTAATTACTACTAGAAACGTTCAACGAACCGATGGTTAATCGTTGATGGTTTCACAAGTAAGTAACTTCAGTTTATTAATGCACGGTTGTGGTTAATAAACTTAAGAGTGATTAATTTTGTTGGTTAAACCGAAACCGTTGTGTTGAGGTTATCAATCTCAATTGATTTCATCAAGGAGTTAAAAGATTAAATGCTACTATCAAGTCGGTATATGGCGGTGTTCTATACTTGACTAATAGTAAGGGTTATTAATGAACGGTCGTTGTTAATAACTACCCTCGATGAATTGGATATACTCCTCGAGTATTCGAGAGGGGACAAGTTATAGATATAACAATGATCGACTAAAATATATCAACAAGTGGAAAGTAGCAATGTCAAGTCCTTTTTATCTTTGAATTAAAATCACATATAAGTTGTTCATCTTTGTGTTTAATTATATTAAATCACTCAATCAAAGCCCCCCTTTTATTCACTTGTTTTATTTAAAAAGATAATTATTCCTTTCCCTGTGGATACGAACTCTACTTCACCTATACTACGTATAATTGTTAGTATCGAATTTATTTTGACGCACTTTGACAAAGTGCTCGTCACGTCACTTATGTAAATCCAAAATTTAATCGAAAAGCAGAATTCCTTGTGTACAATAGCATCCCTATTAAAATCAAAACTCATCATTTTAATCAATTTCTTGGTATCATTAAGTTTGACGCTATTAGTTACCCTTATGTTCTGTAAATTGATTTTCGAGTAGACTTTGGTTGGGTCCTACATTTTGTAATCTTCCTTTTCTGATAAACTAGTGAGGTGTTTCCTGCAAAAAAAAAAACAAATACTTGCTTCACGTAAAATAAATTTATAAGAAATTTATAATGTAAAATCTCTTATTGACTACAATTTGTTATTTTGACTACAAGTTGGTCCTTTGTTTAATTGATTTTGTGCTAAGAGAAAAATTAGTTGATTTCGGATGCCTTAACTGGAAAACCAGTATTTCAGCCGACTGCGATGTTTCAGTAGGCTGCTGAATTCTGGTTTTTCAGTTGGCTTCCGTTTTTAATGAATTTCAGTTAACTCTTTTTTGTACCTTTTCTTTTTTATTCTTTTCTTTTTGTTTTTGGTACGTTTCTTCTCTTTTAGTACTCTTTGCTCTTTGTGAGTACTTAATCACTAATGATAGCAAGTACAAGAGATACTAGTCTAATTAGGGGTGGGATCGGTCCGGTCTGGGTCGGGTTTTTTCTAAACCCGGAAATTATCTGGAAGGTCTCGAGTTATGAAAATTAGGGACCGGAACAAAGCCCATTATATTCGGTCCGAGTTGGGTTTTTGGTAGCCTGGGTTCGGTCCGGGTTCGGGTTGGGCCGGTTAAAGCCCGGACGTGAAATATCTCATTATTCTTTTATATTTTAACATCTATTTTCAAATAAAATTAATCAAAAATACAAACCGCAAATAATAACACAAATATTAGTCTCCAAAATCACCAACAATTCAAATCCAAAGAAGATAGTTATCTTAATATTTTATTTAAGATGCATACAAATAAATAATATAAGTTTCTTAAATATATTACGAAATAAAATTTATAGATAAAAATGTGACTAGAGTTTCTATAAATATATTTTCATAGTCATTACGCTAAACAAATTCATCATATTTGTAGTCACTAAAAGTTACTAAATCATTTTTTTCTACTGTGATTATAATCATATATTAGAAAATATTTATAAATTTATATTCATATATTATATTAATTTTATATTAAAGTTAGTTGTTTTGATTTTTATCAGTCCAGACCAAGTTATAGATTTTAAGGCACATTAATGAGCCCAGCATTTCAAGTTCAATCTAGTTTTCTTTTTATTCGGGCCGGTTAAAAAGAAAAACCCTGGGCCGCGATCATAATTCTGGTCGGCCTAGGGTCGGTTTCCGAGTTTCGATTCGGTTTTTCTCACCCCTAAGTCTAATACAAGAATATTAAAGGGGGTGACATCATCAAAACAACATACATATTAATCATCAAAATCTAGGGAACCTAACAATTTCCCCCTTTTTGATGATGCCAAAAACTAGAATCAAAATACTTTCAAAGAAGCAAAACAACATTAGAAGTCCTAGTGTTTGATTCTATTTTAAAAAAAAAAATTTAGAATATTTTTTTATTAAGAGAATAAAGAAAAAATTATATGCAAAATAGTTAAAATCATCATCTACAACTTTAATCATATCAGCTAAAAAAACGTTAAATATTTTAGTTATTAACCATTTGATATCCAAATTCAAAAGTTGCATGTTTAGTGAAAAAAGACTAATAATTCTAATACATCAATCTCTAAATTAATAGTTATGTTTTCCAACTCTTTAAATGATAACTAATATATCCTCGGGTACATAAACAAAACGTAAGGCACAAAATTAACAAGTATATCAAAATTCAAAAGAGAGAAATGTAACGCGCCAATTAGAATAGGGGAAAATAATTAAAATACCCCAAACTTTCAAGGGGTGTGAGGTAAGCACTCCAAACTTGCATATGTAATTTAAATACCCCAAACTTTGTATAAAAAGTTATTTTAGCACCATGCTCATGTATTATTTCTTTCAAAAAATGCTACTTTTTGGTGTTAATTTCATAATTACAAATATTTTACCATTCATGCAGATACAATTAGCATTCTAAACTTACATTATGAAATAAATAGTATTAACCCTTCCACTCCATATAATTGCAACATTTTCAATTTGCTATTTTAAATTATGCAATTAACACCATAAATTTATATTTTTGAAATAAATAATACATGATCATGGTGTTAAAATAACTTTTTGTAAAATGTTCGGGGTATTAAATCACTTATGAAAATTTGGGGTGTTTATCTCACACCCCTTCAAAGTTAGGGGTATTTTAATTATTTTTCCCATTAGAATATAAACTAATAACATTAAAAACTACAGAGTGGTCTACAATTGTCAACAGGGAACGCCCATCCACCATGAACAAAATGGTAGGGTACTAGTTTTCATGTCCCTAAGAGATCTGGTCAACTCAACTCTGAACCACACCAAAACAACACTCTTCAGAGATTCATCAAAATCTGACTTCTAAACTCTATCCTCAATGGTAAATGGTAGGAGGAACTGCTGCAGGCGCTGGCTGCTGTACAGGTGTTAGAGTTGCTGCGACAGCCGGCTGCGCATAATTCTGCACATCAGAAGGGCGCGTTTGAATTTCAGAAAAATACTAGGGAAAGAAAATAGTAAGGACAACTGGAAGGAAATAAGAAATTATGTGCACAAGAGTGAAAAATCTAAATTCTATGTCCTACAAAAGATAATATTGTTTGACTTTCATTTTCCTTTGGATTATCCAATGTAAAACTAAATACATGAAAATATACCTAGGTAATTTCCTAAAAGAGCAAATATTATTCTTCTTTTAATGGATATCGAAAAGAATTTACCTGTGAAGGATATGTTGAAGGATAAGCTCCATAAGGTGCAGCTTGAGGTACTGATGTAGGAGGTACTTGTGTAGCTCCATAAGCACTTCCGTAGCTACCGTAGGCATTATATGCAGCCGTCTGAAACAAACCCAGTAAAAGATGCTCTAAGTCAAGGAATTACTAAAATACAGAACTAATCATACCCTATGCAGCTATGCTTCAATTATTTAAAATAGGATATTTGAAAAGAAGAAAACCCAAAGCAAAAAAAAAAAGAAAAAATGATAAGAATAATCCCACCTTTACATAATCCCAAAATAATCCCACATTTGCACCCCATCTTCTTTCATTGGACCCTGACCAGGTTTTTTACCTTTCTTTGAAAATCTTATATAATAAAAAAGTGAAAGGTGATATTATTAATATGATTTTCAAAGAAAGCGTAAAAAATCTGGTCAGGGTCCAATGAAACATGGGGTGCAAAGGTGGGATTATTCTGGGATTACATAAAGGTGAGATTATTCTGGGATTACGTAAAGGTGGGATTATTATGAGAAGACTAGTGAAAGGTGGGATTATTCTAGTCTATTTTTCCAAAAAAAACACTGGGGGTGATAAAATGGTCAAACAGGCAAGCCAAACTACGACCTTGGCAAAAATAAAGTACTGAGAAAAATGTGCCCCATGGTTCTGCTTGATAAAAAGTGGGAACAGTATATTTTACTTGTTGGGTATAGGCAGGATTCCACTGCTGAGCTTGAACTTGAGCATGAGTTGTTTGTGGCCAAGTTTGGGGCTGTATGCCGTAACCTGCATGCCACTGGTTCTGCACAGCAGCAGGATATGACCCCACTCCTGATACAGCAACTGGGGTACCAGCTTTAGCCAACTTTGTCTTGTCAGAAGCCAGATAATCATCTGCATGACGCTTCTTTGACTCTAACAAAGAGGTTCTGTTACATAAGAAGAGCTTGGCATGTCGATCATCAGCTTTCTTGATAGTTTTTGTGTCCCCAAAAAGGTCCAAAAACTGCAGAAACCAGTAGAATTATCACATCAAGGCATGGAACAAATCTTGCAAAATTGACAATATTAACTCTGCATACATTAAATAGTTTTAAAACTTGACATAAAATAAAATTCATTTAGTGTTAAGTGTTAACCAAAAGAAGGGTAGAGTGATTACTTTGTAAAACTCCTTAATGTGTGCATTTTTTTTCTAAGACGTCAATTATTTTGGGATAGATGGAGTAATTACCAATAGATTTCATATGCCACCACATTCATGAACTCTTGTGAGATAAAACAACCATCTCTACTCAGTACTCACAAGTTTTTTTAATCAATGCATTGCAAAGTAAAACGTATTAAATAATCACCTCCAAATAAATGCTTGATAACTCTTCTCTTTCATCAATGCTTGCAACAGTAGATGCATCAATTGTAGGAACAATGAATCTATCAACTAGGGGATCCAAATAATCGATTCTCTTTGTATGTGGCTGAATTGATTCTAAATGGATGATTGCCTACAGGACAATGAAAGAGAGAAGCACGCAGCAAGAATGCCAAATTAATATGATAAACAAGGACTCCAATAACATTTTTGGGAATGTACCAGGCCATTCAGTTCAAGAGCACGGGAGAGGGGACAGAAAGATACCTCAAGTAGTGGTTTAGACAAGTTTCCATTTTCAACTGCCTGATCAATGATTTCTCTAGCTTTTTCCACTTTGCCAGAAACCTTCAGATATTTTATCGTAAAGAACACACAAAAATAAACAGAAACCAGATATAACCCATGCTACATCAATTTTGAAGGAAACCTAATGACAGGCTAAAACATAGTATTAAAACTACAAAAGCAATCAGGCTTCTCTTGCACAAGGGATATAAAAGGATAGATCCAAAACAACAAAAATACAAAATAAACAAAACTTCACTTCAAAAGGGGGGATAGTTTTAAAGAACATATTGAGGAATGAAGACAGCCATGTCTGCTGCACTCCACGAAATTGCTAGATAATTTCCTTTGGTAGGGAATACTTCATTCAAACCTAATCTATTATCCAAAAGAAAGAGTACCCCGACCACGAAACAAAAAGACTTGGTGTGTGAAAAAATGAATTTAAAAGCTTTTCAATTATGATTGGTCACCAAACTAGTAAGACTAAAACAGGCTAAAATTACACATTTTGCAGGGACCTAAAACAAAATGTGTCATATTTGCAGGGACTTAAACCATATTTAAGCCAATAAATTAAATGCAAAGATGGCCAAGCTCATGGCAATTCTCAATCTTACACCTTTTGCAAAAAATTGAACTAATGAGACTAAACATAGCTAACATTGCAAAGTATATATGAAGATGGACAAGCTCATAGTGATGCTCAATCCTACAACTTTTGTTAAAATAACAAAAGTTAAAAGTAGACCCAAAAAAATGTCATTTTTAACAAAAATGAATTTTGTTAAAAGGTGTAGCTGTCAGGATGAAAGAGCCTTTTACTATGGAATAAAAGACGTGGAAAAGGTATCAATACAAAAGTGCTTGGTCAGTCCCAAAAAAATTATGTTACAAAAAAGTAGACCCAAAAAAATGTCATTTTTAACAAAAACAAGCTGCTAATTTTTTTTGGATTTCCCAAAAAAGACAAAGACAAGTTCAATATGATAAATTTGGTCAAACAATTGAACAAACAAAAAAATATTTGTAGGATTCATGATTTAAAAGATAAAAAAGATGCCACTCAAGAAATAAAGGCTAATAAGATGCATACCAAGTAAAGAAACCGGGAGTATTGGGCAAACAGTAAAGGTAAAGATTGTGAGTGTTCTTTTGCTTTTTCAATTGCAATAGCTTGCTCATATAGAGAACATGCATCATCAAGGTTTCCGTGCAATACAGATAAAGAGTCTAAATAAAACACAAAATACACAAAGCAATATGCAAAAACAAAACAAAAACTCAGCATGTAAATAAAAATCCGTACAAGTCGATGTTCCATGTTGGCATGTTTAATAGTTGCTTCCAAAAGCCCAGGTGAAATTTCAGAGTGAAGAAGTTGATATGCAGCTCGGGCTCCAGGAATATCACCCTGCTGTTCTCGAAATCGAGCAGCGAAGAGGTGAATCTCAGGTTGTCTCTGTATTGAATAAAAAACTGCTAAAATCAATACATCACCATACAGATAAAAGGAAATCAATCAATAGGGTGATCATATAGAAAAATGGAAAATGATATGCATATCAAATCAAAATTGAGAAATTCATCAATTTCAATTAAATTAACTAATACTCCCTTTGTCCCAAAAACAACTTCACAACCACTATTCATTGGTCAACTTGAATCACTCCTAATCGTTTACTTTATACATCAAATTTTTATCAAACTTAAATTTTCTTGATCAGGCTTTGTAGTGGTTTTAATGTAGTTTTTGAATATGTAAATTTTATTTACTAAAAATAATCCGAGTGTGAACTGTGAACACGGATCGAGTTGCTTTATCATCAGTCAAGCATCGTAAACCGAACGGGAAGTTAATTTTTGGAAGGAGGTAGTATTTGTGAGGGCGCAAAAAACTTATAGCAGCCACATTATTGTAATGTTGTTGATATCAACTTAGTTTTAAAAGGCTCAAGGCGCATCAAAGCCATTTAGGTAACCAGAGTCAAGACGCGAAAACAGCATTGCAAAGCAGTTGATATAACACTAGTTTCAAAGGGGCAAGGTGCATCAGAGGCGATTTAAGATCAAGCGGAGCCGAGGCGCGAAGGGAAGGAGTGCGTCTCGCAGAACTGAGGTGTAAGAGGAAGAAGAGGAGAAGCAAAGGCAAGCGCCTCCTGGAACGGAGGAAGCAGGAGGAGAAGGGGCAGAATAAGGACAATAGCCCTGTGCCACTGGCAGTCTGACGAAAGAGGGATCTTCATTCATTTTTGTGACCTACAAATTTTGTTTGTGTCATCACTTTTAAATAAATAAATAAAATGTGACAAAGATCTAGGATTCCAAGAGGGAAGCAGAGATGCTATGCCTCATGTCTGCAGCAGAGGCGCATGACTCATGGAACCTACTGTGCACAGACTTCCTGGGGCAATATAGTTTACTGCCTTGCACACCTTGTGCCTCTGCATGCCTCCAGGGCACTTTATAAACTTAGGATATAACAACCTCCACCTACTCACTATTATGAAACAAATTCACATAAGCAATATCAGTCACACAGATAGTGATTATGGAGCACCTGTTAAAAAACAAACAACAATACCTTCACAAAAACTTGAGTTGCACGAGCAATAGCATTATCAGCAAGATCCATACTTCCACTAGCCTCCATGCACAAAATATATCTTATCCAATATTCAGGATAATTCGCACAAGCAATCAGGCATCGCTCATATAGTTTGACAACCTGACATTCACAGAAATTATAGGGTCAAAAGTTCGCATTCCAGCCAAATGAAACAAATAAACTTCAAAACAAGTAGATACAAGGAGAAATTCATAATAGTACTCCGTTGGGCGGATCATGGAGGCCCCTCTATTATCAATGAGGGACCGTCCTTGACTGACATGGTTAGGAAGATAAGAGACCTGCATGCATAACATTTTGACTTTAAAGCAGGGATTACACCGTACAACACATCATGAACCTAGAATGTCGACTCACAATGAGAATTTGAGGTACTTAGCCTTACAGAAAGCAAATTGGATGGTTCCTGCGTGATCCAAGTTCAATATCCCATTTTAAAGATGCTTCATGTGATGATTTAGCCGATAAAGCATATGGTGCAGCTATTACTTAACTGTTAGTCAATACGAAATGAGGACGGAAAAAGCTAACCACATAGACTGAAAAACACCCAGTATAACAATAGTCCCAAATACCTTATTGAAGTCATCATTTCCTTCAATGAAATCAAGATAACTGTGCCAATTTTCGAGCTCTGCAGAATTTAGGGTGCGAACATGGAAGTAGGGTCTCCTGATGGCAGTTTCAAACCCGATGATCTTAGAATCAAACTCTTTGGCCTTCTTATAGATCTCTTCTCTAATGGAGATGTATTTCTCCAACTCCTCTGCATCCTTTAGGCTTGAACTTGCAGGCTTCAAAGACTCTGTATTAGGATGAACCTCTCCTTCAACTTGCTCAACATTGGTGGTATCAGAACCGGCAGCAACTGCTGCTGCTGCTTCCCTTTCTTCATCAGTATGCAATTCTGATAGTGGCCTACTGGCAACCAGCTCCTTGAAACTGTGAGATTGCAATCAGCCAAAGAAAAATCATTTATAATGTGATAATACATTCAGCCATTCAGGCATTATGTCCTTTGTACCCTTGAGGACATTTAATTCACGGGATTAATCGCAACACCGGTGATATATTTCATGTTATGCTCATAAGTTGAAAAGGTGTGACAATAAAGAAAAGAACAATATGGATAAAATCTTGATCTTCAGATGTCTTGAGCATCCAAGAAACCAGCACAAACACACAAAAGCAAAATGCAATACACTTGACTTTTTTACGAAAGTGACACAGGAGCTTACCCTTCAAAGTAGCGATCCAATTGTTGGTTTGGAATTTCCAGAACCCGTGTGTAAATTGTGGCAACATGTGGCCATGATTGTTGTGTATACTCATATTCGAGGTACTTATCCCACAAAGGAAATGATAGGTAGTCTGTTCCAACATACGCCAACGCTCTTTCAAACAACCTGAACACAAGACCAAGAAGCTGTAGAATTACAAGATATGGACTTTCAACATGTCATACAAATTACAAATTCAAGAACATTGAAGAGGATGCATTGATTCATCCAAAGAGCATGATACTTCCAAACTTTGACACAAATACACTGCATTTACCTTCCTCAACACTATCATACCAGGTCTCGGAAAGAGCACTCATAGATCATCTTAGCCTTATCGGATGGACCTTCTTGGCAGCAATTGTATTTTGATGCACCTCATGTGCATTAAAAACAGCAAAAAATCATGGAGAACTACATGGACTATGACACAGCCCTAAGGAGAAGGGAAAAATATAAGGGGGAGATAATGCCATATTAAAATGAATCCTAATAAATTCAGACAGCTACCGGATAGAATGGCCAAGAATCACAAGTTATCACGGGTGTGCATTCCAAACAAACCTTTACACCACATGTGAAACAGCTGTTGCATAGTTGCTAGTACGCTGAAATAAGATTAGAGAGGAATCGAGCACACTCTGGTGTAGGAGAGAGGGACACCATAGAGCAATGATCTCCAATGCCAATGATCCCCCGAAAATAAAACTAATAAATGAAACAAATCAATGAAACATACCTTCTAATTGTTTCAGGATCTCCATATGTGTTTATGGCAAATACACAATAATGCAACCACATATCTACAGAATATGTCACTCCTTGAACTGCTCGCTCGTATACCTCAACAACTTTATCCATACAACCAATCCGTGCCTCGTGATCTGCATACTTCTTCCAGTAACCATAACACAAAGGAAACTCCGCCAAAAATGTATCATAAACTTTACGAATCTTCACAATGTTCCCCTGCACATATTGAAAAAATATCCATATCAAAGCACAAGAACATGCCAAAACAGGTTATAAGTAATTAAAAAACAATTGTGTATGCCACCATGGTAGGGATGCAGCTGAAATGAATGAGGGGGATAAATCTTAGGTCGGGTTTATTCTAGAAGGAGAAATAGAATAGTAGTTGATAGTTATTTTTGGCTAAAGGGTCAAATAGGTCCCTGTACCTTTCTGGATTGCTCAATTTGCCCCCTGAACCCAAAAAAGCTCCAATTAGCACTCTGAACTCGATAAAAAGATTCAAATTTCACTTTTAGCAGGTCCGCCGGTCATCGCCACGTCATCCGGTAGGGTGCCAGGTGTGCATGTGACGTGGCAACTTAGGGGGTCAAATAAGCCCCTGAACCCGACCAAATCGTTCAATTTACCCCCTCAACCCCAAAAAATGTCAAATTTTAAAAATAAAATAAAATAAAATAAAAATAATAAATAATAAATATAAAATAAAATTATAAATAAAATACATGTCTAAAAGATAAGATATATTAATATGAAATATTTATCGTTCACAGTTAATTCAAAATAAAAAGTAAAATATAAACTAAAAAAATCTTATGTTTATTTCCATATTTTATAACTACTACGTATATTTCATATAAGAAATAAACAATGCAACTTTACCAACATATTTAAATTTTTATTTTATGTATTATATCTAATGGTTTGTAATTTTTCAGGTGGAGAAGACTAGGAGTCCGACTCCTCGAGGGATCTTCTCTTAGGTCACACTTCAGACAACGAAAACGGACTCCTTTATCTACGGTGGAAGATCTACGAGATTTCGACACCAATCTGGATATTTGTAATAAGGCATTGCAGGTGACGAGGGATAACTGTCTGCCTACGAGCAATTTGAATTTGCAGATGAATACCTACAGAAAGAGGAATCAACGTTCACATCGTATGAGAACACGGTCTCAAACTCTCACAGAGCGTTGATGCTTTTCAATAAGGGCTCAGGGAGAAAGGGTTTCCTTTGATGGGGCTGGATTAGGGAGAAAGGGGTTCCTTTGATGGGGCTTCCAAATACTCAGGGTTGAGCTTTTATCTGTTTGTTGCTTTCCTTTTATTTCTTTCCCTTTTTCCTTCTTTTGTCTTGTACTTTTTATTGTCCTCTTTTCTTTAATAAATGTTTCCTTTCTTCAAAAAAAAAATCTAATGGTTTGTAATATAACACAAATTTTAGGTTTTTGGTTTGATAATTTATACGAAGCATTATGTTTAAATTATCCATTTGTATTTTTTTGTTACATACTACGTATTTCTTAATTTATTTAAAAATATACTAAAAATAAATATACAATTCTTATGTAACTATTTTTTTCAAAGTTACCGATTACACTTTTTTATATCTGTAGTAACATACAAATTACTCATATATAAGAATTAAAATTAAAATATAAAAATAGTAACTACAAATAGTAACTACACTTTTTCACGTATTATATGTAAGAATTAATTTCTTTTAGTTTATATTTTATTTCTTTATTTTGAATTTACCAAAAAATATAAAAATATTTATATTTTATATTTTGACTTATTTTTTATTTTCTATTTTCCTTTTTTATTTCTATTTTTCGTATATTTGACATTTTTTAAGGGTTGAGGGGGTTAATTGAACGATTTGGTCGGGTTCAGGGGCTTATTTGACCCCCTAAGTTGCCACGTCACATGCACAGTTGGCACCCTACCGGGTGACGTGGCGATGACCGGATTGTGACCCGCTCAAAGTGAAATTTGAATCTTTTTATCGAGTTCAGGGTGCTAGTTGGAGCTTTTTTGGGTTAAGGGGGCAAATTGAGCAATCCGGAAAGGTACAGGGACCAATTTGACCCTTTAGCCGTTATTTTTCTGTTATTAACTAATAACTAAAGTCAGTTGTACTGGAAGTCTATAAATAGAATAAGGCTGGGAAGGGAGGAGCAGGCTGTTTTAGACTACTTGTCTTAGGACTGGGAAGTTAGAGAATTAATCCTCTCTGTCTTTTGGGGGCTTCGGCCATTGTACTGTTCTTCTTCAATAAAGTTGCAGTTTGATTTCTTGATATCTTTCTGTGAAGTATCTGTATAATTGGATATTTCAATCAGAGGTATCAGAGAACGTCGATCACTGTGGATGATCTTAGGCGTGCAAAGATGGAAGGAAGAATTAATGAGCTGGAAGGAAGCAGTGAGAAATAATGGCAACAACTGCAACATTAGCTACGACCATGGCGGCGATACAGGAGAGCATCACAAACCTGGAAAAGAGAATCCAGAATCGATCGAAGAGCAGGTCGCACTCTTCGCATAGGAATGCTGAGTAGAGTTAATAAAATGTAGTTGGGTATCCTAATAGATTTGGTGCACCACCCTTCATCAAAGGGAATGTTGGAAGAGCAGAATCATTTTGAGGGTTTCAAAACTGACGGTGTGAATTCTGTGAAATATATCCGAAAGGAGTTTGGAGTAGGATTGACAGAGAATGAAGGGGTATTGTGGGTAAAGAGATAAGGGCTACAGATGACAAGAAATATGACACATTGGGTGTAGTCTACATTGGACTTCTCGTTATTGATCCTAGGAAATACATGACAGATGCTACAATTTCAAGGAGTGAAGCAACTGAAACTCAAGGGCTTGAGTTATATCCTGCAGCAAGAGCTATTAACGAGTGGAAGAGTGAGCACTTGGTGATTAGTAAAGCTCAGTTCCACCATGAACAAAACCACCCAAGTGGTAATGATGCTTTGAAAGTAGAGAATCTATTGATGCTTTTGCTAGAAGAAGTGAGGAGGATATTTCAAGAAGGGAAGATCCTTGCTCGGAAACCAGTTAGATATTGGGAAGGTAGAAGCACCAGGAAGAAGAGAAAGCAGAAGATTTTGGCTATTTCCTACCGCCCACCTTGAGGGCAAGGTGGATGTTTAGGGGAGGAGTATTGATAGGGATGCAGCTGAAATGAACGAGGGGATAAATATTTAGGCCGGGTCTATTCTAGGAGTAAATAAAATAGTAGTTGGTAGTTATGTTTCTATTATTAACTAATAACTAAAGTCAGTTGTACTGGGAGTCTATAAATAGAATAAGGCTGGGAGGGAAGGAGCAGGCTGTTTTAGACTATTTGTCTTGGGACTCGGAAGTTAGAGAATTAATCCTCTCTATCTTTTGGGGGCTTCGGCCATTGTACTGTTCTTCAATAAAGTTGCAGTTTGATTTCTTGATATCTTTCTATGAAGTATATGTATAATTGGGTATTTCTATCACACCATTTGTCCTTCTAGGTTTCTTTCATTCTTTTCCTTCTGTTTTTTATCTTATTGGGATGGAGGAGGGACTGCTACCAATACAAGTATGCAAGTAACACCAAATAATGGGAACCACGCTAAACCATACCTCTGATACTTTCTCAGTTTCCTCTATAAGGGCAGTCCAGGCACCAAAATCTAGATAATTTGTTCTCACAATGCTCCATAATCGTTCCTCTTCATGAGATATTGCTAAAACATTTAAATATCAAGATTTCAGTAAGTCATGCTGACAAAGTACAGGTCTTAAAAACAGGACTACTGCTGAAATTCCAAGCACAACATACATCTCATCCATTAATACATTGTAAGATGTCCAATGAATCACTAGACGAAGACCATCCATCATTCCAAATATAAATAAAAAATTGGCACTTACAACAAGTAAAGAAGGAAACGTTAATACTAATAATAGCCAACAATTGGTTAGCACACAAATAAGTTGCCACTTGCTTCAATGTACACACTCTCTATCCCTTATTTATCTTCATTCCTATTTCCTTTATTCTGAAGTTATATCATCTTTCAATTTTGAAAATGATTCGTTGACATATATTGCTTTTCACTAAAAAAATAGCGCACGGTCAGATGAGGAAGATAATAAAGGGAAAGAGGGAGTGAGAGACTTTGGCTACATATGAATGGTAACACACTCCACATTCACAAAATTACACACTTGAACTTATGATTGATTCATTACCAGAATCACCTACTGGCTGATGCATTGTGGCGGAATCATGAATACTGTCTGATTGTATTCCATTTTCTATGACACTGGTGAATACTGCATCTCTCACTTCGCTATTATTTCCATTTAGAGAAGTAGTAAATGAGGTAGCTTGAGATGCATCTACTTGTACAGGGACAGTAGGGATTTCCTGCTGAGCAGAGTCTGTAAACCTAGCCGCACCTACATCAGAACTTCTATCCACAAGTGGCGCAGTATGTGTTGCTGAATATTCTACAGAGGTTTCAGGAACCACATTGTTCTCCAGTTCAGAAGTATTTGAACCTCCAATTTTATGATCAGCAGATTCATAGTCCATGGCAGTCAAGGATTGAGTCACCACAGTGCCTTGATCAGTCATTGCTAAGAAACAACCTAGAAAAGATTTAAGAGAGAAATGAATTATTAAGAATGCTAACAATTAGAACTCCTCATTGGGTTCTAAAATCAATTGTAAATGTTAATGAATGAATTGCAGATGGTAAAGACAACTGGAGTAAATACTGTGGAGTAGCACGAGTTAAATTAAACTTCATAACTAAAAGTGGAAAACTTTAGACAATCATTTATGGTTTTCATTAGCTAATGGTTCATATACTCATGCCGATTACTCTCAGTAAAATAGCGTAGATTCGTAGATAACAACGAGGACGAATATATAGTACGGCATCTTGTTTTCTTAAAAGGCCTGCCAAAACTGACCAAAGAAAAAGTCTAACAAATATCAAAGTAGAGTATCCGGTCAAGAAGCCCTCGTGCTTATAACTAAAGAATTGATCATTCTTTTATATTTGCATTAACTTATACACTTTTGATGTTTTGACTCAAATGTATAGTAGAATAATGCAGGCTGTAGAAAAATGTGAAACTCTAACAAGTAGCTAAGCAATATTGGTAGCAATTTTGTGGTCCAAAATTACAAAATTCTAACTTTTTAGAATTTATACCAAACCGAAAAAATGGAGCAAGAACAGCTTGTAGGTGTTTACTTCACTGCTAAAGTCACAGTTAGGTTAGTAAGACAGGTGAAGTAAACACGCACACTGCTTAAAAAGCCGCTTACTAACCGAAAGAGGTGCTTAAAGTGCCGCTTATTAAGCATACCACCCCCCATGTATTAATTAAGCGGCACTTTAAGCTTTTTCAGTTTCCGAATTTACCCATTGCCCTTAACCTATTGTTATCCCTGTCCCACCTCGACCCCAACCCCACCCTACCCCAACCCCACCCTACCCTTATCCCACCTACTCTGACCCCACCCTACCTCGACCCCACCCTACCCTACCCCACCCCGACCCCACCCTACCCTACCCCACCCCTACCCTTACCCCACCTACCCCGACCCCACCCCACCCCTACCCTTACCCCACCTACCCCGACCCCACCCCGACCCTTACCCCACCTACCCCGACCCCACCCCACCCCTACCCTTATACCCTACCCCTACCCGACCCCACCTTACCCCTAACCTACCCCATCCTACCCCTACCCGACCCCACCCTAGCACTACCCTACCTACCCAATCCCACCCCTACCCTACTTACCCGACCACACACCTACCCCCCACCCTACCTACCCGAACCCACCCTACCACTACCCTACTTACCCAACCCCACCCCTACCCTACCTACCCGACCCACCCTACCACTACCTGACCTCAATCACCCCACCTACCCCACCCCACCTACCCCACCCCACCCTATACCCCTTACCCCACTATACCTAGGGTGGTGGGGTCTGGGTGGGGCCGATGTGATAGAGGCGCTAGGGGCAGGGTAGGTGTGGTGGGGTAGGGGCAGGGTTGGGGTAAGGTAGGGTAAGGTGGGGTCGGGGTGGGGTCGATGTGGTAAGGGCCTATGGGGGTAGGGGCCTATGGGGTCGGGGGTAGGGTTGCGGTAGGGTGGGGACAGGTTAGGGTGGGGTCGGGTAGGTAGGGTGGGGTCAGGTAGGTAGGGTAGGGGTAGGGGGTAGGGGTAGGCGGTGGGTGGGGTCGGGGTAAGGTAGGGTGGGTAAGGGGTTAGGGGTATGGGTACACATATTATATTATATACTTGTGTTCATGAATGTTTGTGTGTATATATATGTATAGGGTTATTTTGGACATTTTAATGTTAAGCGGTGTTTTAAACCGTTTGAAGTAAACACGGTCTTACAACATTGTTTATTTTATGCGCCGCTTATTAACACGGGTCTTAATAAGCACCGTTTAATAACCGGTGAAGTAAACATGTCCTAAAAATTGAAGTAAAAAGTTCACTACTTCACACTACCAGCCCAGCATCTCTGCATAAAACTATCTATTGCCTAAATAATAATAATAAAGCTGACAAAATGCAGATCTGTCTATGTGTTAGATAATATTAAAAATTTAAACTATAAGTTTTAATGCAATAAATACTCCTAATATTTTAAAAAAAATTACTAAACTCATATTTGAAAACAAAATAAAAAGTATGCAGTCAAATAAGTCCATTATAAACAACAACAACAACAACAACAACATCCAAGCCTTAGTCCCAAAAGAATTGGGGTCGGCTAACATGAATCGATACGTGATATCATCACCAAAAGGAAAAGAAAGAAAATAAAGATAAAAAATAAGATATTATGAAAAAGATAATATAAAAAGAGATGAATATACCTAAAAATGATAAAATAAAAAGGATAAAAATAATGTTTACATATATAAGGATAAAAGGATAAAAAAACACAAGAAAAAAATGAGGGGAAAGATAATACGAGATCACTCCTCCACACGAATATCCTCCCTCCACTTTGCTCTCTCCAAAACCATACCCTCATCTAACCCAAGAAGAAGCATATCCCTTTGGACTCCTCTAACCCACGTCTGTTTGGGCCTTCATTTCCCTCTCTTCTCTGCCTCTTCTCCACACATCTCAACTCGTCTGACAATTGCATCACTCGGTCTTCTACACAAATGACCAAACCACCGTAGGCGCGACTCCCGCATCTTGTTTTCAATAGGTGCTACTCCCACCCTTTGTTTGATTGTCTCATTCCTCACGTGGTCCTTCCTAGTATGCCCACACATCCAACGCAGCATGCGTATTTCCGCCACACTCATCTTTTGAATGTGACATTGTTTCACTGCCTAACATTCTACGCCATACAGTATTGCAGGCCTAATTGATGTCCTATAAACTTACCCTTCAGTCTAGTCGGCATATCTCTATCGCATAGAAATCCTGACGCACTCTTCCACTTCATCCACCCTGCTCTGATTCTATGGGATACATCTCCATCTAACTCACCGTCCTGAATTATGGAGCCCATGTAACGGAACATATCGTGATCGGTATCTTCTTACCATCTAGAGTAATTCCGTCATTACTACTCCTTCTACCTCCACCAAACTTGCACTTCATGTACTCCGTCTTGCTCCGACTTAGTCTGAAACCCTTGTTCTCCAAAGTTTCTCACCATACTTCCAACTTTGCTTTACAACTTGATTGTGTCTCATCAATCAATACAATATTGTCGGCAAACCTCATGCACCAAAGTATTTCGTCTTGAATTGACTTTGTAAGTTCATCCATGACTATGGAAAATAAGAAAGGGCTCAGAGTCGATCCTTAGTGGACTCCGATAGTAATAGGGAACTCCGCAGTCCTCCCTACAGTAGTAGGGACACTTGTAGTACAATCCTCATACATATCCATGATGAAACTGATATACTTGCGTGATATGCCTTTTCTAGTTAAGACCCACCAAAGAACTTCTCGAGGTACCCTATCATGAGCTTTTTCTAAGTCAATGAACACCAAATTCAAATCCTTGTGAGCGTCTCTATACTTCTCCATAAGTTGCCAGAGAAGGTGAATGGCCTTAGTTGTTGAGCGATCAGGCATAAAACCAGATTTATTCTATGAAATCTTCACAGTTCTTCGAAGTCTTTGCTCAATCACTCGCTCCCAAAATTTCATGGTGTGACTCATAAGCTTAATCTCTCTATAGTTGACACAATCTTGTACATCACCTTTATTCTTGAATAAGGGGATAAGAGTACTCTTCCTCCAACTCGTTGGCATCTTGTTGTTTCTCCAAATCATGTTGAGTCCATTATAAACAAAAATACAAAAAATCCAAAACTAGTTTGGCATAAAGTGAGAAAACATTCATCACAACTCCAAGCAAAAACATAGATTGTTCTCCATATATTAATCTCCAAGCATTTTCTCTACAATTCTACATATACATGTTTCACAAATTTATACAAGCAAAGTGTACAAAAGCATAGATGGAGTGTTTTAATGATAATAAATCGTATTTTGAGATTAGAAAAAATATAGATAGCAGGTGTTTGGGTGAAAGTGCAGAAGTGATTTTGGTGCTCTAATTTACCCCTAAAACCAGTTTTTTTAGAAGCCGGGGGAGACCAGCTTCTGCAGAAAAAAAGTAGCAGAATCAGAATCAGTTCCAAACACCCCATATTTTAGTATGAATTAGACAAATTATAATGAGAATTTATTTTTTGTGGAGGTAAGTTCCGGTAGATTCCAACTCTATGTTGCCAACCCCATTAAAATAATTAATATTGTCAACAGCACCTCCTCTCCCCTCTAAAACAGATAGAAGGCGGATGATGTTCTCTGTGACAAGGAAAAGGTATCAAACTAAAAAAAACAGAGTACTTCGTATAAGTGAGCTGTGAGGGACGATGTTCAGACTCGAAAGAAGCTATTGATGAAAGGCAACCTGCGGATCACCAGCGAGTGACGGTATTTATCCGGAGGGAAGTCTGGGCGAAGTGGCAACTCTCTGCCTCTTTCTTCACCTGCGGCTTCTTCACCTCCCACTTCTTCAGTCTTCACCTGCGGCTGTGTGTGGAGTGTCGGAAGTGTAGAATGTCCCTAACTTGGGGTGTAGCGACTGGGGTGGGCAAAAATCACAACAATGTCATTGCCTATGATTATTACTACGTATTTAAATCTACATTTATACTGTTATTTTGATTAATTCACACTTTCACCGTATTTGCTAGTTCATACGGAGTATGAAGTATGGAATCGAATCAATGTATGGTTTAATTATTTTAAATTTGTACTATTATACGGAGTAGTTTATTTAAAATTTATTAATTATGTAATACTACCTCCGTCCCAAATTAATTTGCAAAATTAACATTTCTTGGTGAAACAGTTTCATTTTATTCACTTAATTAGGATGTCAATTTCTAATTATATTTAATTTGGAGTTTGCAACTTTGAGTAGATTTAATGTAGTTTCTGAATATGTAAATTTTAATTGTTAAAAATTGAATTAATTATCAATAAAGATGATTTACCTTCAACATTGGTTGACCAAAAAGTATTGCCTTTGCATATCAATTTGGGAGGAAGAAAATGTGAAAATTGATAAATTATGTGGATTTTTGGAGGGTGATTAAACTTTAATTTCCCATTAAACATTTGAAAAAAATGACATTGTATTGGTATGGCATGATACCGTCCCGTTTGAAAATGGAACCATACCGAACGAGTTAGGTATAAGAGTATAAGACCGAACCGAACCCGTTTGAATAGTAACGGTATGGGTACGAGGCCGGACCGCGTCCACCCCTAATAGCAACAGGCAGATAAAGCTAAAAATATACAACAACAAAAAAGTTGAGCGGTCAAATGACCGCTTTTTGTGAAAAGCGATGATTCAATGAAAAGCAGATGTTTTTCTCCCAATCGAGCTCCGAAAAAGAGACGGGAAAGCGCTTCATTCTCACGCACAGGCACTTCTCAGAAGCCAGGCGCAGGTGAAGCGCTCACCTGCGCTTTGTCGCTTAATGGCGCTTTTGACCACTTTTAATAAGTTTGCGCTTCATCCGTGAAAGCAAATACTTATCTGAAACGTGCAAATAAAATAAAAAGTTTGAAGAGTATTTGATACACAAGTTTGGAAATATAGGGTAGTAGAGATATAGAATATATGAAGAGCAGTGTTTCAGATTAGAAAATTTGAGCATCTAAAATTCATTACAGACCAAGCAACTGCAAATTGTGTTTCATCACTGGAAAATTGAAACATGACATAATTTGTGTTCAAAATTATTTGATAAAGTTGGAAGTTGAAGAGACGAATACTGAATATAGAGGGTAGAAATAAAATACGAGGATAGTGAAGAAACATGAATTGTGGAATACGAGGCAAGAGTCAAGGGGGGGCTTGTAAAATTATGGATGTTTCTAGGTATGCAAGTAATTGTAGACTGAACTATACTTCTTTAGTCCAATGCATATGTGATGTTAGTCCCAATATGTTAATTTGCTCCAGTATATTCAGGGAAGCTTATAACTAATTTCTTACAAGTAGTTCCTTTTTATTCAAATAATTGAATAGATCACATTAAAGTGAAGATAGTAAGACACCAGACTGATCATTAGTCAACTAATTTCTTACAAGTAGTTGGCAATTTCGGCCGACCCGTTGGATACCCGCACCGAACCGATTTGGTCAAACTGGGGAAAACCGGTTTGACTGGGGAATGGGTACGGGGCGGGGAATACCCGAATTTTTTAAATGGTTAATGGTGCGGTTATGATGCGGGTGCCCGCACCGGTACCCGATCCGTAACATTATTAATGAATTGTAACTTTTTATATATAAGAATAATAAGTATATACGGAGTATGTTAAATTGTGTATGCTAAATAGTATATATACAGAGTACGGAGTATCATATAAATAATGCTAAAAAATATACTACCAGTACTTTTTTAGGCCTAAAACTAAATATAGGCCTAAACTTGATTTTGGAATTTGGATTCTGGGATGATTACTATTTTTTTATTATGTTACAAGAGATATCAGGTGCATGTCATACTAATGAATTTAGTCCAGTCTTTTGATTGCTTAAATATTTACTTTTGTATGTTTTAGGGTGCTTTGAATATATAAATAACAAATAGGATTAGAAATTGGTTATTTGTTTCCCAAAAAAAATAGTTTTATGGTATCATTTGGGGAAACGGTTACCCGTGGATAAACCGATTCCCCGTTGGGGCGGGTACGGTTCAAATAAAAATTACCCAAACGGGTAATGGGGCGATTTTGAGGCAAACATTTATCCAACGGGGCGGTTTCGGTTTTATGTGTACTCATATGATACAATAATACAACTTAAAGTATGTAAGTGCTAGCTAGTAGTATTTGTGGATGTTAAAATATTTAAAAATGTTAATAAGTTACTAATATGAATATTACTACCTCTGTCCCCTAATTTTGGGACGGAAGGGGTATTGTGGTTTTTAAGGAAAGTGGAATAATGTGGTTGATAATGAGTTGATAAAGTGAGAATAAAGTAAAATTGAATTAGAGCCACACAACTATTACCAAATATGGTATGTAACAAAATTAGTGAGATGAACAAAAAAAAGAAAAATGGAACAATTATAATGGGACAGCTGGAGTAATTTACAGGCAAAATCATTTTAAAATGAAAGAGCATATCTGGTGGTTGGTCATAAATGAGTTGGGTTTGAATATTAGGTCATATAAACTTATCTAATACTCGATATAATGTTTGGAAATGGAAATTACCTCCAAAAGTCAAATCCTTTTTCTGGCAGGTTTGTGTCGGTTTGCTTCCAACCAGGTGTGCTTTGAGATAAAGAAGAGTCAACTGTCCAGTTGAATGTGGCTTGTGTAAGGGAGCTGCTGAGACATCGCTGCATCTGTTCGTTCAATGTCCGGTGACACTTGAAGTCGGGCGAGTGATGGGGTGGAAGATTCTGGGGCAGAATGCTACTTCTTTCCTGGAGTGGTTAGAGGTTAATTTCCAAGCTCAAAGAGAGGAGGATTTGCAAGCGGTGGTTTTGGGGTGCTGGGGAATTTGGTGTGAGCGTAATAAGAGGGTGTGGCAGGGGTCCGAATCTAATGCCCAGCAGGTTGCTTCCAGGACGAAAGCCTTCTTCGAGGGCTGGTTTATGGCATATAAGGGAGGAGTCCGATCTGGCTCTTTGGCGTTGAATGGGTTGGCTTACTGGCAGCGCCCTATAGCTGGAAGAGTGAAGCTAAATGTTGATGCTTCAGTGGGAGATTCAGGTTGTGGTTTAGGTTGGGTACTTCGGGATGAAAATGGCGAGTTCTTGGTTGGAGGAGTGCAACCGTGGCAGGGGGGCTGCACTCCGGTTGAGGCAGAGTTGACGGGAATTCGGGAGGCTCTTAGCTGGCTTAAGGAGCGGGATTGGAATTTAATTGATGTGGAGTCAGATTCACTACAGGCTATCTCCGAGGTTCTTAAAGGGTCAAGCTATTCAACAATGGGACTATTAGCTGAAGATATCAATATTCTGAGAATGCATTTCACTAATGTTACATTCTCTCATGTTAGGCGTTCTGCGAATACGGTGGCTCATGTTTTAGCAAGGGCGGCGTGTTCTTTGTCTGATCGTCGTTTTTGGCTTTTTAATCCGCCTGATTTTATTGTTCATGTACTTCACCATGATTTGATTAATGCCAATTAATTTTACATTGTTCAAAAAAAAAATACTCGATATAATGTTTATTTGAGAAAGACAAACATTTTTTCAAATAGTGAAGAGACTATAATTATTCCTTTCACTTGAAACATTCATGGTCTAAAGGTGTTCTATAGTAATCCAACTCATCCTCCTAATGTTAAGTAGTTGATACACGACTTTTCGGGTGATAGTAGAAGATATACAGTAGAAATGGAGAAAATATATTGTAGTGTACAATACTACGTATTTCTGAAGGAATTTTATTATTTATAATAATAAAATATTATACTTAATTATAAGTAGATTATAAAGAGAAAATAATATGAAGACATCTTCAGAAATTATATTAAAAGTTTTATAAAGTTAATAAAAGAACATTTAATTTTAATAAAAGGTTAATATATAAAGTAAAAGATTATGTAGCGCTTTACATTGACCAGAGAATAGGACAATGCTCTTTGGTCAATGTAAACTGCTTTATAATCTTTTACTTTATATATCAGCTTTTATTAAAGTTACATTTTCGTTTATCAACTTAATAAAACTTTTAATGTAGTTTCCATATATGTATATCTTCATATTATAGTCTATTTAAAAATGTATGATAAGTCGAGAAGTTATATTGTACAATAATTTGGGAGGAATTTTATTATTTTTAAGGGAAAATCGCATTTTTAGTCCTTGAAATGGTCACCATATTGAAATATTAGGCCCGTATTTATGTGATTGTATATGTTACCCCTCAATTGTCCAAATTGCTATAAATGTACTCCGCACTCACATTATACATTCCGTCACTCAAAGGATCATATTTAAAGCAATTTTGACAATTGAGTGGTGACATTTACAAGCTGGGGAACACAAGTCTGACATTTTAATATGGTGACTATTTCAGAGACTAAAAGTGTGATTTTCCGTATTTTCAATAATAAATGAATACAAATAAATTATATACGGATTATAATATATAAATAATATATATAATGACATTTCATACCAAACCAGATTAATGATTTTTTTTATTTCAATTTAAATTTTATGGTCCGATCTAATCTGATTTGATTTGGTCTGAACCGGTCTGATCTTATCTTGTCTTATTCGATGGATAATTCGACATTTAGTTAGTTAATTTGCCACATGTTTAATTATTTAAGATATTTGATCACAAAAATTATATAGGCTAGGATGTGATTTAGGCATTTAAGAACACATGGCCGTTAACTTCTCTGTAGGGAAAATGTCCTACTTTGAGGGAATAGGGAGATTTTTGCTCCAAAATTAAGTTTGAGGGCCAATGCCCTTGAGTTACAACTCTACGGTGATGTTGCCCCTTTTCCCTAATTTAAATGTAAGAAGCATAAAAAATTGATTATGTGGGAAGCCTCACTTAGATGCTTTTCAAATTGAAGTTAAGTAAAAGATGTCAATGAATAGTAAAAAGTAGGAAAAATGGATCAATAATCTCACTTTTTACTGTTCTTCTCATAATAATCTCGCTTTTGAACCCCATCTTATTTCGTTGGATCCTGACCGGTTGGTGACATGATATACCGGTTTTTTTTACTCTTTCTTTGAAAATCTTACATAAATAATCCCACCTTTCACAAATCTCCTTAAAAACGGTCCCATGTTTCATTTTTTTCCTAAAATT